TGTCCTCTTCCTGCTCCTGACCCTGCTCGTTATCCTGCCCGGCCACAACACCATCCCCATAACCAGGCAGTCCATCCGTCCCAGAAGAAGCATCCGAGGAGGAACTCCCAGTATTCTGACTCGACACCCCACCACCACCACCCATCCAACTATCCCTCCCCCTCTGCACCTCCTCCCTCAACTCCTCACTCATAACCTGAATCACCCTCGGCCTCAAGTGCTCATCCGCCTGCGCCTCCTCAAAACTCGGCAGCTCTTGCCCCAACCCCCCAGCAACCGCCGCCCCAGGCTGCTCAACAGCCACCTGCAACGGCACCGTCAAGTTCACCCTCGTCCCCCCACTGCTCCTCTTCTTGCTCTTCTCCAACGCCATTGCCATGTTCAGCGACAAAGACAACGTGTACACCCTCGAAGCGATACACCCGTGAAAAGTCGGCACAAAAGTCTTCTTGTCCGTCGGTAAACCGATGGGGATGTCCACCGTGGACGTGAGATACACCGGACTCTTCTGCTTGTCTTTGCCCACCACAGGGGAAGAAGACGACTCGGTCCCGTACCCGCTATCCCTCCGCTGGTTCCTCATTTTCTGCGTCCAGCTCACTTCGGGAACAGCAGAAATGGGGGGCAAAGAGACAGAGGTGAAGAACTGCCCTCTCCGGTCCGTGACGTAGGGCGTGTTCCACTGCTCTCCCAGATTAGGAAAATCAGAAATCGTGCCCGACGAAAAGAACGTGTGAGCCGTGACTTTCCCTGACACACCCGTTATCTGAGGCGGGGAGGCAATGTGGGAGGGGTTTTCGGGGTCAAAGGTCAGGCTGATTCTCATTGTTGGTCGGGAGACGAGACTGTTCCCGTCCGACGAAATGACTGCTGCTGATGGTTGGTGGGCTTCGGCGGTGATCTTGCCCAGCTTCGTCGAGAGGATGAAGCTCTTGCGCAAAGTTTTGGACTTGGTCATGCTGTATAGTCTGTCCTTGGGGGTGATGTTCAAGGGTGGTTCCTCGGGGGTTGATGGCAAGACCTGGATGTTGCGTGTCCCCTCCATGATTCTCGTCTTCTTGATGGCGGTGTTCTCTGGTCGCGGGCCTGTGGAGGAGACGGTTTCCCTCAGGACGCGAGCTTTGATGCTGTATTCCACACGGGTCATGCGAGGCGCCATGTCGTCCTTCTCCCAGCCACCGCCCATGCTGGGTGGGAGCAAAACGTGGTGATCCTGGAGCTGATCTGATAGTCGCTTGTGGTTACAGGCGTTGATGGTGAGCTGGCTAGGAATAACAAAGTTGAAGGGAATGGTGTAGGTCCCGCCCGTCTCCAACACCTTGGGCAGGGGGTATGTCGACTCGGGGACTGGCATGACCATCTTGAGGAAGGTGTGTGTGATCTCCTGGGGGAAGCTCATGCCGTCAAAGCTGGCCTTGGTGTTGCCAATGAGAACAATCTGAATCGAGTCGAAGTGGACATCTCGCTTGGTAACAATCGTAACCTCGCCCTTCACAGGCGATCCAGATGTATAGACTTTGGCGTTGTAGTGGTCCTTTAGGTGGACTCGGATGTCAGATTTGGGAAAGGCCAGGTCCCTAGTAAGTGGTGGGAAGTCATGCGAGTCATGGGCACTCGAGGCCGAGTTGGATGAAGGTGTAGCCGCCATTGTGGAGACTAGACGGACTTGAGACCGAGTCCAGAGGTAAACGGCTAGAAGAGGACAAGATATAGCAAAAAGGGAAATTGCTGTCAACGACGGGTGTAACTGAATGTCTCCTGTTGGCTTCCGTGGGCAGCAAACTTTTTCAGAGGCCGTCACCTGTGCCGACAAGACAGCAAGCGTACAACAGCCAGCGGGATGGCCAAACAAACAAGGTGTAGGTAAGAGGGGTCCAGTGGTTCACAATCGATGGGTCGGAAAACTATAACAGCCTCAGGCGTTGAGCGGCGTTCGCGACCGTCTTATAGCGGGCTGCCCTAACCCCATGGTTTAGTTGGACCCAGGGTAGATGGTGGATAACAAAGCTTTTGACTCATTACAAAGCCAGAAGAAAAAAAAAAAGAGAGAGCTAGGCGGACGAGGCAGAGCATTGATCTGGCTAACCTGCTTCTGTTCCCCGGGGTGCCGTCCATGTCTCCCCCTTCCCTACCCTGCCTACCCAATGCCTACCCGGGCCAGGGGGGTGTGATTGGAGCACATGTGGACAAAAAGGACGTGGGTGGTGGTGGTGGGTGCGCAATTGCTACTTTGGTCAACGGCATCAAAAGGAGGGCGGGGCAGCTCTTGGCTCCCATCACTCGGTTGGTCGTTTCGTCAGTCGACCCGGAAAGCTGAACCGCTATTTGGCATCGGCAAGGAGTGGGATGCCGTGATGGAGGGTGCCAAGAGCCCAGACGAACGCCTCGCGCCCTGCATCCTTTTGTGTTGCAAATGCTGGCCAGTCTCTTTGCTCAAGGAGAGGGCGTGGCCTCTCTGTGAATTTGGACTCCCTGATGGGGACATGATGTGGAAAAGGCTGACTCCCAGGGTGTTGAACAAGGACAAAACGATCGTCAAGCTGGGGTTGTCATTGGCCAGAGCTCTCGACACTAGCTAGCCGTGATCGATGAGCTTTTTTAACGGGCACCATCGTTTCGTCTCTTGTTGGCCGAAAGGCGCAAAAGTCCGTTGACCGGTCATCGGATGTCAAAAGGAAATGCTGGGCCGTCGCTTCGACGTCAGCCGTTTCCCCTGCCTCGATGTGGCTTGGTCTAGTCTGATCTAGTGATACGTATGTGCTTTCAATATGTGATATGTTGCCCATGTGTCACTATCTGAATCTCTACGGGTAGCCATCTGTGAAGGAGCAGATAGCTTCACAATCCTGACCAACCGTCTGATATGTTCCTTAACTGTCACCAAGCCCAGCGAACAGAAGAAACTCTCCGAGGAGATCACAAACTATACAGTCGTCATCCGATCTTCATAGACGTAAGGTACATAGTTCGAGCGGTGTTAGTGAAGGGCGGTCCCAGAGAGTGACAGAAGGCGGGTCTTGTCTTCAATTCCTAACTCCACTGGGTGCCCCGCCCACCCCACTCCTCCCCGCATCGCATCATGGGCCCCGCTCGGCGTAGACCCCAGCAGGCCGAGCCCAGAACTCCACAGCAGACCCACTGTAAACTCCATTGTTTGAAGGTCACGCCCCGATCACGGCGGCTCTGAAAACAATCAGATGTCGAAATCTAGGCCATTCGAACCTTTTGTCAAGACCCGTCTCGCTTCCATTCACCTCGATTGACTTATTTCACGGGATATTCATTGTCGAAGCTGCACTGAAAACATCCCCATCAACGGCAAAACCCGATGGGCTCAGCCTTCTCATTGTCTTATTTCATCTTGACCTACATACAGCATCGAAAAAAAAACGTTGTGAGGTGAAGGTAAGGCAAGGCCCTCGCAGTTGGAGTCATCGGCCAATATGCACTGGAACTTGGATCCGCATAGTGCTACTCTACACAGCAATTTGGGTCCGCATGGTCCGCAAGGTTCCCACCCATTACCTACAATAATGAATTCACACTCGCGGCAAGAGGTCATCTTGCCGAAGCCCAGCCATGTCATTGATGAGACCGACCCATCATCAAATCTGGGCGCCTCTTGTGGCGTCGGGCTCTGTCCCGACTGCCCATGCGAGGTATGCCCTCCCGACTACCCTTTCCGGAAGACCCAAACAGCCGGGACACGGGACAGACCTTTGGGGTTCTGCTAGCTTTGTCCCGGTGAGACTCCTTGCATACCGTTCAAACCTCTCTCCTCCCCACCAGCCACGAGTTCTTCACTTTCTTTCCACTTCGTCTCTCCGAATCCGCACCTCGATACGGCTTCGAGTCTCTTCCCCGCAAACCTGGATAACCATGTTTCACGAGAATGGTGCAATATACCGTCATCAGGTTTTCCTCAGGAAAGCTTTTAAACTCCGTCAGGATCCATAATCCTAGCTCCCAACCATCACCATATTCCAAGCCACGCCCTACGTTGTACAACAGTTCAACCCCCTACAAACTAATATGACTCAGCTATGGTTATCCATACCACTTTCGCAAAGCGTCAGCTCAGGAAGAACTTCTCGCCGTCTCTCTCCCATCACACATCCTGTCTGCACAGTCCCACTCCCGTCGTTCTCGCGACTTCGCTTTTGTCAGCGAACTGCCATTACTAATATATACCCCTAACCAAGTTGATATTGACGTCCAGCCACACACCCCCTACACTACCTTGCAAACAGTTCGTACAATGTACACCTCTGCCAAATGACAAGGCTGAACCGAAGGAGTCATCTTGGCAGGGGGGTTGTCTCCAAGCCCATTGTAACCACTATGGAAACATGACCGCATTGCAGAGTAGTACCCATCACCAAATCCAGCTCCACCGCTCTTAGCTCCGTACGGCAAGAACATCACCATCTGACCTCGCCAAAAACCTAAATAAAAATAAAATCTAGATTTTCAGTCATGACCTGGCTCTGCTGAAAGGGTGACGATACCCGGTCCGGTCATCAAGCCTAATGACAACACCAAGTTGGTACCCGATCCGATAGTCTCGTCTTCCCTCTTCCGAGCCGAAAAGACATATTTCGTCCGGGCGTATTCCCGTCGCTTGCCCTTCCCTACGCGTACTCGCCATGACATCTTTTTTCTAATAGGTAAAATATTGTGTGTGGCACTCACCAAGGTAAGCTTGAGGCTCAGAGCCTTTATTCACCGCCCATTCTCAAAAACCGAATATTTCTATGCAAAAGTACCTTACACATGACGGTCCATCTTTTGTTTCCTTATGCCGGCACCTCCGATGATGATGACGATGCTGCTCTCTAACCAACCCAAAAAGCCGATGTTGTATCAATAGTACACTTAGGTAAAAAAACTCCCCTTTCTCAGCTTATGACTCTTACACAAGATACCAAACAACCCACACACACTCCATCACTCCTATGCTTCATCGATCAAAACACAAACAAACTTTCCAATCTTCAAGTCAAGCAAGCAACTTAGTCATGCCAAGAGATATAAAGCATGATGCCCGCCCCAGCAGCAATCGCCGCAAATTGCACCAGCATCTTCCTCAACTCCACCGCCTTGTTCTTCCCAGTCTCCAACAACTCGGGGATGACCGCCACTGTGCCCACATACAAGAAAGTTCCAGCCGTGAAAGGCAGCAACATGTCTCCCCAAGTCAAGCTCGTGCCCCAGAGACCTTCCTTCATGCCCATGGCCACAGCATCAGCGCCGCTCGCTCCATTCTCTCCAAACTCCTGGATCGCAATGCCAATGAGCGTGCCGAGGAGAGCACCAATAGCCGTAACAAACTGCGCGCCCATGGCCTGCTTCTTCGTGAACCCAGACTGGACCAGCAGAGCGAAATCGCCGACCT